AAATTCTCCCTCTTGTTCACTGTCATCGTTAACGGTTCTGTCTAATACGGATAGAAGTCTGTCTAATAATCAGATAGAACTGTTAAACAAAGGAATTAATGCATACAAAAAGTATTATAACGATTGCTTTTACATTATTAGTAATAGAAAGGCAAACATTATAATACTTTCTCATTTGCCGTCAGCATTCAGCAAATACGCATGTATATAATTTAAACAAATCTTTGAATGACTAATAAACATTTAATTTCACAAACCTTGTAAACTTAGTAGAATCCAGCTGTGAGATCTTGTGAAGTGTGCATGTGACCTGCATGATCACGCGCTCTCTGTGTGACGGTAGGTCCGTGTGAATTCAATGCTTTAAACTTTAAACTCGTGATTTCAAATTATGCTGCGCTTTATGCAACCCTCTACATTGCAAGTAAATCACTCGCATGTGCGACTAAATCTTGCTCTGGGCGACTAAATAATGTCTAACATTAGCCATTGGCTAATAAATTCTTAGATTTTACATGCCAGTATGTGTGTGAGAGGCGTTCAACACAGATTTTCACTCGATAAACACGCTGACTGAGCGCTTGAGAGTTTCGCTCTCCGTCAAGTAGGGATGCAGCGATTAACCGGTTTCGCTATTAACCGCGCTTTAAAACGTCACGGTTAATTAATCGTAAAGGTTCCGCTAAACCGATCGTGTCTGTTACACGGAACGGAACTGTTGCAGCTTGCACAAAACGAAAAAAGTTACACTAGCGGTGCACCAGCTTAAAATGACGTGCTTATCAGAGGCACAGAGGCTACTACATGCATTAGATTCACTGTGACAGAGGGACTAAACAGCGAAGCTTTATTTCCACCAGAGAAATGCTTGTCGATAGTGTGGGACCATTTTGGCTACACTAAGAATGACCAGGGTGTCATTTAAATATTGCTGTAAAAAACTGCTGCTAAAGAGCGACTACATAAGGGATAATGCACGGCTTGCTGTACATTGAACGATTTTAATGCATGACGTGAAGGCAAGAACTATGGAAGCCCGTTTCCGCCACTGAATAAAAAATAAAAGTGGTAATTGCGAATTTTTATCTCACAATTCTGACTTTTTTTTCTCAGAATTTTGAGAAATAAACTCGCAATTGCGAGTTATGAAGTCAGAATTGTGAGATATAAACTTGCAATTCTGAGAACTTATCAGTCTCCCCCCCCCCCCCCCCTTGTGAGTTATAAAGTCAGAAATTATATAAACTCGCAATTGCGAGAAAAAAATTCAGAATTGCGAGTTTTCATCTCGCAATTCTGACATTATATCTCGCAATTCTGACTTTATAACTCGCAATTATGAGTTATTTCATGCAATTCTGAGAAAGAATTGTGAGAAAAAAAGTCGCAATTACCTTTTTTTATTTTTTATTCAGTGGCGGGTAAAATCAAATGAATTATTATAAAGATTATTAAAATGAATACGTATGGATGACAGTTGATTACAATATTTCAGTTTATTTCCATCATTAGTAACCATTTCACCTGTGTGACAAATAAAGTTAATATTAGTCATATATTTATAATAGGCTACTTCATTAACTTTGTTATTTACTATCCCTGTTGTAGTATTATTCATAAGTAAAAACCAACAATATTTTTTTTCACCATGTTTCCAAATTCTCTACCCCAGGTCCAAAAGAAATGTAAAGAATGTACAAACTGAAGACATTAAATACTTTTCCTAGTTTACTTCTATTTCTTTACTTTAGTTTCTTTTCTTTTCCGTTGAGAGTTTCGTGTTCTGAGTTAAGTTGCCTAACTGTGTGTCTCCGAGTCCGACCTCGAGTGCCATCTAAAACTTTAACCAGACGACAGCTCCGCCGTCAGCCAACGCCCAACCACTGGCTTCCCAAGACTGAACTTCCAGCCAATCAGCAACCGCGGGAAACCCCCTTTTCTGCAAGGACCACAACAAAGGGAATCCCCGCACACAGGCAACGCAAGGAGCTCCAGATTCTAGCTGAACTGGTGCATTTAATATAAATTTTAACCTCATTGAGGAACTCAATTCGAGGGTTAATTAAGTGATTGATGGTTGTTTAGATCTATGCAATTGCACATATTGCTGTAAACTTGGGATTTCACATTTTCATTTCCTTAAACTCATTCTTTCCTTACTTTCTTGCTTTCTGCAACTTGTGTGAATGTGTGAATGCGTGTGTTCATGTATTAGATTAGTTTATATGTCTTAGATTTATCCAATAAAGCCTTAGTTATATTGAAAAGAAAAGTATCTTGTGTTTTGTGCTCACAAGTTGATGTCTTAAACTGCCGATCTTGTTACTGTCACGGCGCGGTCAGGAATCACACCGTGTGAGCAAGGGTTTTGGGTCCAAATGCAGGTTTTATTCACTGCCCCAGCCAATCAGCAACCGCGGGAAACCCCCTTTTCTGCAAGGACCACAACAAAGGGAATCCCCGCACACAGGCAACGCAAGGAGCTCCAGATTCTAGCTGA